GTAACTGGCAGCATTCCCTCCGAGGCAGGTCCGATGTGCAGACGCCTACTGTGCGCGGCCCTGTTCTTCGGCATCGCTTCTAACCGGGACTGCAGCTTAACACAGAGTTCAGTGAGATCCGGCCTACGAAATGGCGGCGACCGTACAATCCATCCAGAGACACCGCCGAGGAAGGCGGACTTCCAGAGTTCCACTTCCTCATCTGCCAGCACACTCTGCCTCGCTTTCAGCAGCTGAAAAAAAAAAAACAATGAATCAGCGCACTGCGTATGGACACAACACATCTATTAATGCACCTGAAAAATAGTCACCAAATAAAGTCTTACCCTCTTTCTTCTGTCCCGACTCCGAGCAGATAGCCTCCGCACGCAGCGTGTTGGCTGGCAGCCTATATCTGAAGCTCCTGCGTACCGTCTGAAAATACGTCTTACAGGCAGCTGGAAAACAATTAAATGAGAGTGGTATGAATAAAAAAATCAAACTCAAGTCACAGTAACAAGGAAGGAGAAAACATTAAAACAAGTCACTTACACACAATGTCGTCTTTATCAACATCGTGCAAATCTGGACTTGCTGATTATGGCTCCGAGCAAATAGGAGGTCACCGCCTCATTGTGAGGCGACAGTAGTCTGTGAAAACAAAATGTAAAAGCTATGATCGGTATCTATCCGTATCCATTGCCTTTTACCGCAGAATGAAAGCATATTCTTTAAATCTTACCCTTGCTCCGGTTCATAGCGCCTGCAATTAGTCTCCGAGTTGTGAAGACGGCATACTGCTTCCTGTAATCACAAAAAATACACTTTAATAAAGCTTGTTCTTGCAAGGCTAGGCTAGATAGGCTAATAGCTAGGCTGCTATTAGCCGGTAGCTTAGGCTAGGCTGCTTTTAGCTTAGCAGGCAGTAATCGAACATATATTTACCGCTAGCATCTCTTCTTTGAGTTCGTCTTGTTCAATGCAGAGTCGCCATCGCGTCCAAGAGGAGTTTTACCCCGAAATCCAGACGCTCCAGACCGCTGCACAAAGCAAAGCAGCATCCTCCACTGTGGATCCAGACCCCGCTGCTCTAAGTTTCTTGGAGATCGTAGGGAGCATGCGCGAGATGAACCAGAGTTTCCGCGGATCAATAAAAATAATTAAAAAATCATTCTTTTTTTTTTTTTTTTAATCAAGGCCTTAATTGGCACTAAAATTATTTAAATATGTTTATCGAAGTATTTATAATTCTTTAATAAAAAATGCTTATAAAAACAATTTCGTCAGATATATTATATCGCTCCAGGCGGAGAAAAAGCTAGAGGATATATATATACGTATATATGTGTGTGTGTGTGTGTGTGTTTACATACATACAGGAGTCATGGAGCTCTGCTTACAGCTCCTTCATATTTCATGTACACTATTAACTTGTGTACATGATTCTTGTTGATGGTATTAAAATCATTTCTAATAGCATTTAAATAGCATTAAATTAGAGTCACTCATTCCTGTATGAACCCTGTGAGCGCTTAATTTAATATGACATATTAAAAAAATCCCACCATCATCCAGCATATGTTCAGTTTCTGCCCAAATATATATATATATATTTGTAGATTTTTGTAACGGGGATAAGGATAATTCAAAACTGCTTTTTTTTAATGAACTTGTTCACTACTTCCAAACTCAGCATCTCTTTTCATTCCTGTAATAAGAAGTTTCTTTTGAATGGATTTCATTAAAGTTTAAGTCCCTCGGTATAAAATAAATATTTTGATGGAGATGAGAAATCTGCTTCCTCGTTGGTGAATAACCAATAGTTTGGATCCAATCATTTAAATAAACGGTGTTAGTTTTTTTTTTTTTATATATATATATATATATAAGAATTGTGCTATAATTTCTAGTCACCGATCTGTTGCTGCTATATTTTAATTTGACGAACCGGAATTTGTCGATGTTCTTTTTCCTGTTTGGTGCGATTGCAATTGCGGATCTTGACCTGGCCGGACCTTATGACCACAGTGTACCAATCTTCTGATGGCTACTTCCAACAGGATAATGCGCCATGTTATAAAGTGAATCATCTCAGACTCATTTCTTGAAACTTTTCCACTTAAGTAATTGTGAATTGAGCATATTGACAGACAACATTTTTTTTTTTATCTTAAATGCAAATTTTTTTTTAAATAATTACTGCTCTAAATGTATTGCTCTGTCGGCTAAAGATCTGTTTTGGTCTCTATGCTTTAATTAAATAAATCAATTCAAGCTAAAATGTGAGAGGCTATACTAAGCCTGATCTCTTTGTATCAGAGATTTTCTTCCTCAGAAAGATGTCACTTGGGGTAAAACCCCCCCTGCAACCCTGGTTTGCATTTGTATAGCTCACAGCATGTTCATTTACATGTTAAAGCCTCCCCTAGAATTCCATGGGGGGGAGGCATGGGGGGAACACTGCCTAAGAAATTCCACGTCAATTTCTGACAATTTACGGGAGTTTTTGACGAAGCCTGCAAATTGCCGTAAACTGCCGCTAACCTGAAGTTCCACGACAATCTACAGTGCCGTATATTGACGAAAATCCCACTTTTCATGCAGTGCAATGAACTGATTGGAACAGTTATTATCCTGCACAATACACTACACAAGTGGTTTATATGTTTTCACTTATTGGCAGAAAATCACATATTCATTATTAGGGATGGGAATCGAAAACCGGTTCCTGTTCAGAACCGGTTCCGTATTTTCCGATTCCATGGCATCGTTTGGCAGCTCGCTGAACGATTCTTTTTTCGATTCCCGCAGCACCAGAGCCTACAGCGCCGGCTCTGGGAGCACGACTTGCGTCACGTTTTTTACGTAAGTTACGTAAGTTACGCAAGTTACGCAAGTTGGAAGAACTATTCAAGGAGGAAGACAACGAGCTGCGGTCACTTTGTGAATCAAAGCCCCGTCTTTCCCTAGCCCAGAGGGTAGATCAGGAAATCCAGCTCTATAAAAGCTTGCCCTCCATCCCCTGCAGGGATAGCGCCACACTGTGGTGGTGGAACAAGCAAGATACACTGCCCTTGCTATCTGGACTGGCTGAAAACTACCTCTGTGTGCAGGCTTCCTCCACCCCATCTGAGAGGGTGTTCTCCATGGCTGGAGACACCATAAGCCCTGAAAGATCCCGTATCCTTCCAGAAAAAGCAGATATGCTCATCTTTCTGCAAAATAACTGTTAATTTTCCCTACTACTGTTTTATAATTAGTATTTTTTGTTATTTAAAATAGGTTATTATCCCATCATTTGTTATTAGACATTGTTGGTTATTAAGTTTGTTCTTGTATTCATTTTTCATTTAAACACAGATGTTACTCCAGTTTCACATTTCCTGTGGACATCTTGATCTTGTTGAGTTTTTAAGATTGTGCAATAGTTAAGTAAACAAAGTTGATGCTGATAATCAAACTGTTTGTTCTCCTTTTTCCCCCAAATTGGAATCGAAAAAAGAATCGATAAAGAATCGAATCGTTTCATAGAATCGAAAAGGGAATCGGAATCATGAAAATCTTTTCAATTCCCAACCCTATTCATTATCCACCTCATACTTGACGTTTGCAGATTTAAAGGAATAGTACACCCAAAACATGATTAGCCTTCATTTTCTACTCACCCCCATGCTGAACAACACTCTGGAGTACCTTTTTGATATCTCAAATGCATCTGGAGATCTGGGAGGCTTCTTGCTGTCTGCTGACATTCAAATAATGGAGGTCTACGGGGCCCAAGACAGAAAGGTCCATAAAAGTCCACAAAAACGTGTCAATATTCCTCCATACTGCTCGTCCAATGTATTTCAAGTGTCCTGAGTGGGTAGCATCCAGAATTTACTCGAAAAGAAGTCATTTAGAATGTTTTTAGAGCATAAACAGTAGTGTATAGGATTTCCTAAAAGCGCGTTCACGAGTCTACGGAAACCGCGGCAGACCAAACCAGACGAAAGTGCGCATTCAGCGTCTGCTCTGCCGATAATGCAAGCGTAGAAGAAGAAATGTGCTGTTTACCTATGCAAAGAAAGAAACAACGAAAGAAAAATGTCTGAGGACTTCAGTGTTGAGGAAGAGCATGAGTTCTTTGCCGAGCTGAATGCGCACTTTCATCTGGTTTTAGTCTGCCGCGGTTTCCGTAGACTCGTGAACACGCTTTTAGGAAATACTATACACTACTGTTTATGCTCTAAAAACATTCTAAATGACTTCGTTTCGAGTAAATTCTGGATGCTACCCACTCAGGACACTTGGAATACATTTGACGAGCAGTATGGAGGAATATTGACACGTTTTTGTGGACTTTTATGGACCTTTCTGCCTCAGGCGCTGGGCACCTCCATTATTTAAATGTCAGCAGAAAGCAAGAAGCCTCCCAGATCTCCAGATGCATTTGAGATATCAACAAAGTACTCCAGAGCGTTGTTCAGCATGTGGGTGAGTAGAAAATGAAGGCTAATCATGTTTTGGGTGTACTATTCCTTTAAGGGTAGTTGAAGCCCCTCTGTTTTTGTTAGTATCTGTGTGCATTAAAACGTAGGAGCAAAGGATGTTTCCTAGCCCCATAAGCTCAATGCTTAGCCCCCCCTTCAGCAGTTGCAGGGTAAAATCTCTGGAGCCACCTCTAAATCCAGCCCATCGCTCGGCAATAATATCCAGCAGAACCACCATACAGAGTTTAACCGAGTCACAGGGAGTTGGACGATCCGAACCCTTTAACCTCTCAGATCTCTAGAAAAACCTGAAAATCTACACAATGAACAAAAAGATTGTGGTTGGCTTGGGTGTGCTAAATCACTATGGCAACAAGTGACTCCTTTATTTTGGTCCCCGGTCCCTAACATTACTCAACAGTTTCTGTTTTCTCCCTCCGTCATCCCGTAACTTCCAGTTTCCCACCAGCACAAAGGGAAGGAAGCTGCTTGTTGGTCTTTCTTTGGTGATTAAAATGCTGTGTTTCCTCCTACAGATAGTTGCTGTACCTGAGTCGAGGGCCTGGCGGAGCTCCTTGGGACCGCTGGTGTCTGGAAGAGCTTCATACAGAGACTCTCCGCTCAAACCTGTGGAGGACATGATAAATCAACCATCTGCATGGCACCCTGGAGATAAGCTGTTCCTTTGAGCTAAGGAGTGGTTCTGTTCATCATACTTTATCAGTAATTCTGTCTGATATCAGCTTTTACTTTGAAAGTTAATGATTTCCTTCATACAATCCTCAAATATGTCAAAAGCTCCCAAACCACAGCCTTCTTATTACTCTACAGAATTGATCTTGGATGATTGAAGAAATCAAATTTGATCTAATAATTCACCTCATTTAAGATCCATTAGTAGTGAAATTCAGGCCCTGTAAGTGAATAAAATGCAGACATGACAAATAGCAGCAGTTCTCCATTGACTGTAATTCCTTGGTGGTTTATTCATGCACCACCGACCCATCCTCTGATAAATCTGATTAGTTTGTTTTCCGTTCTCCTCACCATGTTTCTCGATGGCGTCAAAGATTCTCTGAACAACCAGAGCTGCAGAAGATTGAGGTTCCTCCTCCACACCTGAAAGAGGCAGAGTTCCCCATCATTTTTTTATTAATACTTTGAAATGACTGGATCAGTAATTACCCACATCCAGACCTCACAGAACCCTAAACCCACAGCAGAGGTTGGAGCCCAGACCTTTGCAACTACAACATTTCTAATAATGCCAGGTTCTCCTGAATGTTCTACTGTGCTGCTTCCCTAAGCATACTTACTACATCTAAATGCCAGTGTCCCTGTCTACAACTGGATACTAGACTGACGGAGAGGCCTCCGCAGGCCTGGTCAGACTATTTAAAACACCTGGTCATCAATACAGAACGGTGTGCAGAAGGGCCTTTTACTCAGACCCTTAAAATGTACCCTTTCGTGCATAAATGTTCATAAATCTAATACCAGAATCAAGGTTACAGAGAACGATGATTGACCTCACAGAGAACAAAGAGATGGACTACAGCTGTGGTTTTCAAACTCAGTCCACCAGACCCCATGTCCTGCACATTTTAGAGGCATCTGCTCCAGCACTGCATCAATGATGGCAATACCTCCTCAGCAGCCACATAGCGCTACATATATTTAATCAGAATATTCTCTGTAATAAAAGCAAGACGAGAAGCTGTGGGACTTTAAAGCTTTACGTTCTTGGGGAATCAGATGTTAGAGGACATGGTGGACAACATCTGCACCTCCATCCACTTCTAGATACCATCAAATGGATCTTACTAGAAACACATCCATCAATGTTGCCATGGTTTAGGTTTCCTCCAAAACCTTCTTCGTGAACTTTTTTAAAAGATTTTTTCATTTTTATGCATTAGCTTCTACTGTAACTGCTAACAAAAATACAGGCAACCGAGTAAACAAACAACAGTGTTTAAACATCTCTTTAACCAGCAATCAGGGGCCAATTACGTAACACTCATTGAAATTACAGAATAAGATAAAACAAAAATTTGCCTTTTTAGTTTAAAAAAAGAGCTAAAAGAAAGAGATATTATTAACCAACTTCTGGTGTGGATGGGAAAAATGAAGGCAACCTGCTCCTTAATTAATCAACTAAACACAATTTGTCTGACAACAGGAAGTTGGCCAAAAGATCCCAAAGAGGAACATATTGTGTCTAATGTGATATTTTGGATTTTTAAAAGGTTTCTGAAGCCATTTTTAAGACTTTGGGAGCACAGGGAACCATTGTCAGAACCATGATCCAAAAATGGAGAAAATGCTTGGCTAACTGCATGCAGCGAGGCTAAAGCTTTATTCTGCTTTCCCTTCCTCCTTTTTCAAATGTCAGGATCTGACCCAGCATGAATAAAGACAGGTAAGACTAAATTAAAGCATTTTTTTCTTTTCAGAAAAAGCAAAGAAGAATTAACAATCTGGGATTTACATAGAAAATAATATAGTATAGTGTAGTAGGTGTTTGTTAATTTGTATAGTTCTCAGAAAATAAATAGTTTTTATATATAAAAATACAAAGCTGACTAATAGATTCTCCATTATTAAACTGGTACATTATTTCTTTAGGTTTGTGACACCGTATTGGACCATGCAAAACACAGATTTATCTTCAAAAACCTCAGAAGGACAAAAAGTAAACCTGCTCATGTTTTTATAATGTTATAATGCTGTTTTTTGTTGTTGACATTCATATAAATATACTGGTGTGATAAAATAATATACGTTTGATTAGTTTTTCGTATACGTCTATTTGAATGTACTGTGTAGGCCCCCAGGGGAAAACTCAACCAGCCGCCACTGCCTTTATCTTATCTCAGGTGAAGTGGAACCAGTAGACCTGTCATTAAAGGAACCATCATCTATGTGTTCTAGCAGAACATTTAGAAGAAGCTCGGCAATCACTCTGGGAGCTTAACGTCAGAGGAGTTATGTAACAGGATCCAGGGCCCAGCTGGGAGGTTACCGCTGTATAAAGGGTAGAACCGAAGCTTCTGGAGTGGCCTAGTCAAAGCCTGGAATCAGATTTTAATTAGATGTTGCAACAGGATCAAATTAAATGATAACAATTCTTTAGACTTAATCTATATTCCCAACATAATAAATAAACATTTTGAAGCAGCAACACCTATAATGCTTCATGGACACCCAAAAACTAACTATATGCTGCTGTTGGTGTAACAATACAATAATAAACACCAGCTAAATTACTGGAATATTTCAGCAGCTGCATCACACATACACCATTGCTTGATCTCTTAAAATCAGAACAGCAGGATTGCTTTAATACATATGGGGTTTTCTTCAACATTTAGCAACAAAAACAGAGTGACTGAGCCAGCTGTGAGCCCTGCAGGTCCAAGAGCAGAACTGCTCCTTCAGTCTGTCCCTCATCATCGATGAACTTCAGACTGCATAGTGTGGGTGTTTGCAGGGCCTCCGGGGAGCGAGCCTGCGTGCCTACACACTCATGGTGGGGTGCATGTCTCAAAATGTCAGAGCTAAGTTCAGGCTCAGGTCAATATTTCACATGCCAGAGGCTGGTGGCATGACAGGGCTGCAAACAGCCTGTTTATCCATTTAGCATCCAAAAAAAAAAAAGAGAAACAGTTCAGGTAAACATCCAGAAGGATTCACAGACCAAACATTTTCATTTCTCATTTTTTCGTCTTTCAATGTATCCAGCTGAGAGTGCAGATGTATCTTTAGACAACAGCGACGCTTCATTGGACATCTTCATTGAATAAAACAATCCTAATTAGTGAGCAACCCTTTAATTAGCCGTTTGATTTATTCATTCATTTTAATGATCTTTTCTTTCCTACAGATCCAACCAAACACATAGATTTTACAACAAATGAATTTCAATACACGCATCTGAGAATTGTAGGGCTGACTTGACCCTCTGTTTATAGGAGAGAACGTCTAGGAGAACAAACACACTGGGGGTGACTGAGCCTGGTTGAATCCTCGCTGCTGTAGAAAACTAGACCAGCTCTACATCCTCGGCAAGGGCTTCAAGTGAGATTGACCAACCAATGGGGCTTTTTTGGGACTTATGGTCCTTTATCAGGGGCCAAATGTTCTTTATTAAGGGGGGCAGGCCTCTTGTGGACACTTTTTCTGACACGGCTGCCCTCCTGTTCACAACTTTCATGGACAGGATTTTTTGGGCAGACCCAGGGCCAGAGGAGGTCTGCAAAGGACGTGGTTCTAATTGCTCCCTTTAGCCACAGTCTGAGCAGACAGCGGTGTGGTCTGCAGCCAGACATGAAGGGGCAGGTGTGAGGATTAGGTCCTCCAAGTCTGAGGCCAAGTTTCTCCAGCAGAAGAGAGTCTCCTGTGAAGGAGTTCAGATATCTGCTTCTTGTTATTGAAGGAGAGGAGAATAAAGATAGATGTTGACAGACAGATTAGTGCATCCACCGTATGCGCTGTGGTGAAGACGGAGCTGAGCAGAAAGGTACATATAGCTATGAAGCTTTTGGTTATAAATTGGGTCATAACCACAGAACAAAGCGCCGTTTATAAGCAGAGCTCTGCCTTCACAGAAGCTGGAAGGAGAGCTGCTGCTCCTCCAAATCCTCAGCAGCCACCTGAGGTGATCTGTTACAATGCCCCTCCCCATGTCCCCATTGGACGGTGTCCCGGGCCTGTCTCATCAAAGGACGGTAAAGAGACTGTGTCCCTCGGCTGGCCTTAGCAAGACTCAGGCCTCCCCCAGACGAGGTGCGAGGCTGGAGGTGGCATCTGGCCTGAGGAAGGCCTGGGAGTTTTTGACAATGAAAAAGTATCATCATCAACCAGATTTATACTGCTGTTTACCAGGACGGAAATGTTAAACGGACAACATCTCTGAAGGAGCATTCCCTTCTTCTTCTTCTGAAACAATAAACAAACAGATATCTGCTGAAAGCACAGTAAAAAACTTCAGTTTCAGTAGAAGAAGAAGAGGATACAAACAAACATGCAATTCTAATGCAGAGCTGTAAAATTCCTCCTGTGGCGTTTTTCCTTCCAGTTCAGTCAAACTCATCTCATGGTTCATAAACCATCTCTCCCAGATATAATCCCTCCTCCTGTTTTCCCTCCGCTCCCTCCTCTTTTCTGTCCAGTGTTGTTTTTCATCTCTTTTTCCCCTAATCCTCAATCCCTTCCACTTCCGTTGTCCATCTCAGACATAAATAATCACAAACACGTTTAAACAAGTTTTTGTTTAGGAATGTAAAGACCTGTTCCCTCCTGCTGTTTACTGAATGCACACATGCTGACATCTCTACATTAATTTCACTGTAATCATGGTTATGATTGCATTTATGAATAATCTGCATTTATGAATAATCTTAACCATTAGTGGATTCAAAACACCCTTCTGACATTGACCTATAAGCCTGAAACCAGGAGCTGTGGCAACAGATACAGGCTTCTGTGCTTTAAGTCCTCAGGGTGTCATGAAAATCAAAAAACCTAAACAGGCAACATAAAGAATTACACACACAGGTGTGCCTGCTTGTGAGGCAGCGGGCTGATATCAGGAGATCAAGACTGTTAAATGTACAGTTGCTTCCATCAACGTCACTGTCAGGAAACATTATGGATGCAATAATTCAGCCACAGGAGAGGAGGAAGGAGGGAGGGAGGCAATGGCAGCGGGGAGGAGAAGGAATAAAAGAGAGGGAAACAAAAGAAGACAGGAACAAAGAAACGTTCAGAGGAGAGAAATGTAGATACAAGAAGAAGGACAAAAGGAGGTAAAGGAAAATGATGGGAAAAAAGAAGGAGAAAAAGAGGATGGATGGAAGGAAATGAAAGGAAAAAAAAGAAGAATGTAATATTGAAAAACGTCCAACGAGGCAGAAACAAAAGGAAACTAAACAAAGAAAAAAGGATCAAGTGAAGAAAGATAAACTAAAGAGGACATGATAAAAAAAAATGGAAAATTGAGGATGAAAGAAAAACAGAAGACTGGAAGAAAAGGTATATGATAAATCCAAGCAAGGAAAGATGGTATGAAGAATAATGAAAGAAAAAAAGGGTGAATAAAAACAGAGAATAGAGA